CCGCGGCAACCCCCGAACTGCGGCTGGGAAGGAGCGCCCTCTCTTCCCAGCAGCTGCAGCCCTGAGGCTGGGGAAAGTCGCCTCTTTCTCTTGCCGCTGCAGCCCAGCGTGTCCCAAATTCCCCCCACCCCCACTTCTCACTCCACTGCCCCGAGTGAAGAGCTAAAAGGCAGATTTTTCCGCAGATTGGAGCCTGAGCTAGAGGACTTTTTTCTCCGAGGTCTATATCTCCTTTTTTGGGTTGTCAACTTGTCTAGGCTGGTAGAAAGGGTGTCTATAGTATTGCTGAGAGTATTGGATATGCAGAGTTTTATGTCTTTTCTTGGACACCAGGGCATAAATTCCCAAGGATTGGAGGGTCACTCAGGAGTCATTAAATGAATGCAGTGTTTCATCAGTTTTATCCAAAAGGAAGTGCCCATCAAATGGAAGGGCTTCTGTAGTTTGCTGAATGTCAGGGGTTATACCAGAATTATATAGCCAAGATACTCTCCTCATTACATTGTTGCTCGAATCTCTTTGAGGTGGAAGATGAACTTCTCTTGGAGCAGGAGCGGCTCCTATCAGTCTTATGGGTTATTTTGCAAGGGACCTAGGGTGACCAGATCGCAAGAACAAAATATTGGGATACATATGCGGGGGGGGGGACGACACATGGCCCTGGCTCCTGCCACAAGCCGCGGGTCGGTCGGGGGTACACAGCTCCGACTCCCGCCGCAAGGGAGAGTGTCAGGGCTGGGGCAAGGGGTTGGGACGCAGGAGGGGTGCTGACAGCAGGAGGGAGTTTGGGTGTGGGAGGGGGCTCAGGCCTGAATAAATATCCCAGTTCTAAACACGACTGTACAAGATAACCTTCTGTTTTTTTGTCATTAACAAATGATTGCCTAACTTATTAAAGATGAAAATGCAATTAAAATCACAACTAAGCTAAAGAGTGATGAGACTGAATACCCTACTTGCTGCTACCAAAAAGTGTTAATACAGTACTAAGATGTTTTAGGAAAATGAACCCAATGGAAGGGTCCCTCCTGTGGCGAGGCGATTCCCCTGAGCGACCCGCATTCCAGTTGTCTGAATTGTCTGGGAGAGACTCATATAGGGGACAGCTGCCAGATCTGCAAGGACTTCAAACCTCACACAAAAATGAACTGGGAGGCAAAACTGACATACTAACGTGAGTTGTCAGCAGGGATTGAGCCCAGGACATTCAGATCCACAGCATAATCCTCTATTATTTGAGCTAAAGGGATAACCCATGGCACAAAGAAACTGTTGTGTATGTGGACCAGACCCTAGAGCGCGGTGTGTGATATACTCTTCGTTAGTGGCTTACATAGCTACTGGTTAGACAGCAGTGGAATGTCAGGTATCTGGACACCAGGGTTCCTTTACTGGCTCTGGTTCAATGGGTAGAGCAGGGATTGCAGGAAGTATAGCTAAGCAGTTAGATTTGGCACATTTATTCTTAAAGGGTGGTTAAGGGAAGAAGATGAGAGTCTGTTACGTTAGAGGTATGGGTTCTGTTCCCAGATAGAGGTATAAGACCTTATTCAGTTTATGAATGGCAGAAATATTAATATTGATCTTTGGAAGAAGTGAGCCTAGTAATCATAGCTCTTCCCAGTCCAGTGCTCCTTTCTCTAGGCTAGAAGGAATTTTCTGAACAGGGATCTCTGTCGAAAGACTGCCAAATGTGTGACGGTCATGCAAGAGGCATAACGCTTGGCTATCTATGCTGTACGGCTATTTTGAATGATCTTGGTTCCTTTAATTACATTGATTGAGGTGTTAAAATGTGTGTGTAAGAGAAAAAACTATTTTTGCACAGGTTAAAGCACCATGGTTTAAATATGCTCTCCTTGACCCTTTTTTAGTATCACATCTTGAATTGGAAGGTTGGCCATTTAGAAACTGTTTATTTAAGAGACCCTGTTGCTCCATGAAAGCTTTGTATATTGCTTTAATAATATATTTTAATAATCCTATGTGACTCCATTTAAGTGTTTTTTTTTAACATACAAAGATTTAAAATGGCAGTCATTTTCATGAAGACTGTTTCTGACACTGTTGTAAATGCAGGCTGAATATGGTCCCCTGCAGGAGTCTGTAAGCTGTGAATTCTGCTCAACAGGAATGTCTATTTTTAAAAATAGCACTCAAAGCTAGCTCATCTTCTAGCAATCAACTCTTCAAAGCCAGGTGAGTTTATGGCAGATCCTCCACATTTGTTAGCAACTAAAAAAATCAAGCAATCATAAGAAAATTTTAGGAATAAGAAAAAGCTGTGTTGGGGTTTTTTTTTTTTAAAGCGCCCATAAATAATTATAGTACATCTAGCCCCCTTATGAAAGCGCAGAATGTCAAGGTATGAATGAAAGTTATAGCTGATATCCTGATCCTAGCTCTGACTGTTATAAAACAAAATTTAAGAAACTCAATAGTATGAGGAAAGGACATTGCATCATCCAGGTTCTTCAATTTACCTAAGTGTATTGCTTTTGGTTAGAATTCAATGTCAGTGTCTTTAAAATTACTGTTTGATTTGCTTTATAGTATGTCTCAAGAATAATTGCTGTAACATTAACACAAAAACACTGCTAACCAAATAGTCCACATATCTCCAGTTAACTGTTTTATCACATCAGCTTTCCTGATTCAAAATTCTTGAACATAGTATGATTTTAGTTAAATGGATATTCCAAATGTACAGTCTAATACACGAAGCCTGCATGTGGTAAGTTATTTTACACCCATCTTATTTAGTATTTAGAATACTTTTATTTTTATCAAGCTATTTTAAGTTCATAATTGAAATTATGTGCTGAAAACAATTTTCTGTTCTGCAAATTTGCTGCTTGAACAATGCTGGTGGAAATAAATCTATAACAGTCCATTACTGTCCCAGCACTAGTGATGCTGGTTGCCAAGCTACAGATGATTAGTGACATCTAACCTACAAGTAATTCCTCCTTCCACTTTATTCCTCTGTCAGTGAGGGGAGAGTGATAAAGATAAACCTTAAAAAACTAGAAGTACATTGAATTGACAGATGACAAGAGCAATGAATTTTAATTTATATGGCAGACAGACATACTATAATATGTTAATATTCCTTTAAAATGCTTGGCTTGGGATGACTAGTAAATATGTTATCAGGAGACAATCAGAGCTGGAGGAATCTTGATTTATTGACAATACAGTGTTTAAGAGGTGAATGAAACAACATAAGTGAGGTATTTTCGCATAATTAATGATACCATATTAAATTAAAAAATCTTTATAGTTAAAATAAAAGGGATAGTCCTAGCTTTATAATAATAGCATCAATTAATTAAATAATAGGTCTTTATCTATTTTAGTTTAGTGTTTTTAACATAACTGCCACAGCAAAATACAAAAGATGAGTTGAACTAAAACAGGAGAATTAGAAAATGAATAGGTAAGCAGCTATCAGAACCTAACATAAATACTTTACTTTCTATCAGCTGTATGCATCATTTTATGCTCCAGTAAACATTAGCAAGACTGAGTAACCATCAGTAAATTCAGTCAGTGATTACACTGTTATGAAAGGGACTGCTTGAATGTAAACAGTCCTTTGTGACCTTAGTATGATTGTTTGCACAAACCACACTTTCCCCACTGTTAAATCAAAGAACAAGCAATAATATTAACAATGTTACAATGCCAAGTGAAAATGTAGCTTCTTAAAAGTGCGAAATTGAAGTTACTGATAGGAGTGTGTTTTATCAAGGAGAAATAGTCAATTCAGAGTATAGAAAAGAAAGTGATTAAGTATAGTCAGTGTATCCGTGGAAGATAATGTTTGATACAAATAAACTTTACCTCCTTTTTCTTGGGGACATAAAGCCAATATCTAAGAGGCTCGTATGATGGCACTATGGCTTTATGCCCCAAAGTATATCACATAGTTCTCCTCCTTTAACTAGTTATTTTTTTTTAAACAGTTGGCACAGGCATGCATGGAGAAGAGTCACTTAAATAATTAAAAATCCTAAGTAACCATTTCCCAGACAAATCAAGAATGATCAGAATACTCTATTTTTCTGCCAGTTTTCAGAGATGCAGCAAAATGATGCTTATTATATATCTACCAACAATGTAATGCCATCTAATGACACTGTATGCACTAACAAGAAACAGAATTGTGTTGATCGTGTAGACGTAGACGGTACTCTGCTTGAGCTCTGGTTTCCATCATTTTTAAATCCATATTATCTGTCAGTGGCTGAGGTGACTTGCAATATGACTGCTTAATTAGCTCTCACTTATTGTGATTCTTTTATGCTGATAATGGGGATGTGCTATTAAGTCTTCCACCACCAGGGGAAAAAAATCTCCTTAAGGAACTATTTATATTAATAGGCTATTTCAACACTGACAGTCATAATCTTGTCAAAATCTGTTAAACTATTTTGATTTTGATTTTGTGCTCTTGATGGTGGCAATCTACAGTAGTGGATAATAGAATATTAAGATGTTGTCATTATATATCACTCCAAAACCAGTCCCCTCTCTGTGTACTCATCTGACAAGGTTCTCTAACTGACTGCTTTCACTTCCCATTTGTCAGAAAACTGTCAGCAAAAAACAGTGCTTCAGTCTTCACTGAAAGATAATTTATTTACTATCATACGTCCTAGTAATGTATAGACACACAAAAGAATTAAAGGCTGGATTCAAGTTGATATTTGCTACATATTTCTTTTTTGTTGAGATGCAATGAGCCATTGGGAGGATTTTTAATTAAGAACAGCTGTAGTCTTCCATGAAAAACTCCTTCCTTGTAAGATTATTTTTTGGAGGGGGGAAGAAGACAATAAGGAGCATTTCAGTATTTTCTGTATAGCTAAGAGATGAGTGAGGCGGCTCCCAGAGCATACCAGATGGAGCTGTGATTAAAAGCAAGTGCCTGCAGCTGTGCAGCTGCCCCCTTTTTACCACTCAATCCAAATGGCTTGTTTTTGACTGTGACTGACTTACCTTTTCTGCTGCAGCACTTCATCCAGGGTTTCTTGCTTGTCTTGCAGCTGCCGCTGTAGGTGCTTCATTTCACGCTGGTACTGAGAAGCCTTCCCAGCAAATTCCTTCTCTTGCTCGGTCATTTTGAGATTGATGGCTCCAAGCTTCCCAGCAGCTTTCTTTTTGTATACCTATGAGAGTTGAAGATCGTGGGGAAAATGTGGTTATGGCAGTCTCAAGGATAATTACTATGGACAAAATAACCAGCTAAATATGTTCCTTTCTTACTGTGGCTTGATCTTTAACTCACTGATGCCTTGCTTAAATAAATCAGGTAAGGTGCACTGATATGATCTTTTTTAGAATATTTATTAATTGATAGGTATGATGCATGTACTTTCCACTGCATATATCAGAGATGTGTACAGTCTGAATACTACATATTATGCCTATATTTTTATTTTGAGTGAAAATGACAGAAAGCAGGAAAACAAAATGGGTTTACTTTTCTGGGTGTAAAGCTGCTCTTCACAACACATGTTGCTTACCCACTAATTCAACAGTCAAGTCTAATTCTCTGTCTACAACACAAAGAAATAGGAGTAAATACCATTGGATGGCATGTTTTTAATCTTACTACAATGAGAAAAAATTAGACTGATTTCCTTATTAAATTAAGTGTATAATTGTTTTTCACAATATGAAAAAATATATTTTATTGGAATTACTGTACATGAACACTTTCTCCTGAAAAGGGTACTGTTCTAAAACAGCTCACAGAGTAATATATTGCCAGAAAATATGCTCAATACATTTGTAATGTTAAAATATTTTGCCACTTCAGCTAGTAGTTCATTTTTTTTAAATGAATGCCCTAGTGAGTTTTTTCCTTCCTATTAATAAAATAACCAATTATGCAAGTCTGAACCCTAGAAATTTTTTAAAAATACTTTTGATAATGTATCTTTTCAGCTTTTAGAATCAATTTCTCTGTTACACTGCATGTCACCATGTGGAACCCAGAGGAGTATATGGCTTGTCAGCTTAGCATCATGATGCCCCATGCACTTCCATTACTTTTTTTTTTAAAGGGGGTTTTCTGCTAATGATTCCAAATGGAATACAATAATTCATCATAGGCTGTAATTATGACACTCTCCTCACTACATCCATGTGATCTGAAAATAGAACCCTTGCGTGCTGGAAGCAGCTCATGCAGTATGACTGGAAATTTTCTGAACTGAAATTTTGAAAATATTTATCTTCAACTGGTGCAAATTCAAATATGCCCACCTGGCTGTCGTCTTACAAAGACAGATTCTGCTTGCTTGTACATAGGTGCCCTAGGGGAGAGGGATGCTGTAGAAAGCTCCCCCTTCCCCTTGTACATCGGCACAGGGAGCAGCTAAAGTTTTCAGCAAAGGATTTAAACAAGTGCTTAATAGGGATGTAAAAGATTAACCAGTTAAGCAGTAGTTTTACCGGTTAACCCACCTTAACAGTTAACCCCGGGCCGGCCGGCGGACCCCAGCAGCCTCGTATTGCTAGAGCGGTCCCAGCCCCAGCTGCGCTGGCCCTGGCCGGAGGGGCCCCAACCTCAGCCGCTTAATCGGTTAACCATTTAAACGGTATTTACATCCATAGTGCTTAAGTCCATCCCTATCCAGTAAAGGATTTAGAACTTGATCCTGAAAGGTGCTGATGAACCATGCACCTATTCCAGCAAAGAACTTAAGCAGGTGAGTAGTCCCACTGAAGTCAATAGAAATATTCATGTGCCTAAGTGCTTTGCTGACTAAGGGGGGATATTCAAATTGGGCTTGTGCTTCCTGATTCTCCACTGCCCTGCAATTCTGTAGCCATTTACAGCTGTGCAAAGTGGGCATAAAACACGACTGTTCTAATTTGATAATATTTTATGCCCACTTTGCATTGGTGTAAATGAGTACATAACGGAATGCAAGGCATAGGAGTGTTAGTGTACCAGTGTGACAAACACCTAGTTAAGGCATGGCCCTGGCCCCGGCCCCACTCACTTGCAGCTAGAGCTAACACAAGCTGCACCCTTTTAAGCAGCCTCAGAGGGTATGTCTACACAGTCTGTGGCAACAAGCCTCACAGCCCAGATGGGCAGACTTGGTTTGTGGGGTTTGCACTAGTACTCTATAAATAGCTGTGCAGACAACACTTTGAAGTTGCAGCTTGGGCTCTGAAGCCTACCCCCTCCCAAGCTCTCAGATCCCAGGCTCCATTCTGGGCCACATCATCAAAGTGCAGTCTACATAGTTATTTTTAGAGCGCTAGCGTGAGTCCCACAAACCCAGGCTCAGAGGTTTGCTTCCACAGGCTGTGTAGATATACCTAGAGAATGCACCCTGTCGGCATTTTACCTGTCTCTGCCCTCCATATGTTGAATTCATTTTGCAGCAGCTGCTGGTGGGTAACACATCCACACCCCCCAACACAGCTGTGGCTTTAGAATCATAGAATACCAGGGTTGGAAGGGACTTTAAGAGGTCATCTAGTCCAACCCCCTGCTCAAAGCAGGACCAATCCCCAGATAGATTTTTGCCCCAGATCCCTAAATGGCCCCCTCAAGGACTGAACTCTCAACCCTGGGTTTAGCAGGCCAATGCTCAAACCACTGAGCTATCCCTCCCCCCCTAAAATAGCTCATAAGCTGGTCAAAAATGGGACAAACTTGGCAGTAGTCAGTCCAGTTTTTAATCCTTCTGATTTACATTAATGTAGTTAAATAATGTTCTGCATTTCAGGACTCTTGCAGTTGGGGAGGAATCAACAAAATTGGGTGATAGATCCATATAAAATATTTGCCCCTCATCCATTTTTCACTGTTCTGACATTTCTTTGGTTCTTAAACCCCTACAGAGTCATCACCTTTCTTAGAGCTAGATTGGTAGCTCTTGGGCCTTGCAGAGGACCAATCCTTTTTCTACAAGACTTACTCTCTGCCTAGACAAAGCCTGGGACAGTAACTGGAAAGTTCTGGCAGAGGCAGACAGATTGGAACGCAAAGAGTTTCTACAAGTCTACTCTGAGGACAGGTTACAGGTAGATATTCTTTCTGTCCTCCTCCATACTGGCTTCCTAACCACACCTAAAAGAATAATTCAGATTGAGAACTACTTATCAACCCAGTCAGTCTGCAATCCACACCTGAACCCTGTATCATTTGCTGGGAGGAACTATTCTCTTTTCACAGAGGAGATCACCCACATCCAAGGTTTCTCAGGATACTCTGAACCAGAAACCACACAAACATAGTATCTTGACACTTTCCTATTCAAAGTTCTGTCCATTCAACAGTAAGTCCAGGACATATTGAAGGAAGTGTAAAACCTTCTTTGGGTCCAATCCTTGCCCTTCCTAGTTGGCAAAGGAAAGTGAAGGATAAATACAATTTCTTCCAAGAAAAATATGGTCAATGCACCATTTGAAAAATTAACTCTTTCCGTCTCCTTAAAGCACGCCATAATCCTATGAATTCTGAAGAAACCTTTACTAGATGCAATGGAACTTGACATCTACTGCCTGGTGTCAAATCTCCCTTGGACTTCTAGGTAGCATTGCATATGGTGGATCATACACTGCTGCTCTTCTACCTAAGAGATGTGGCAGGTGTCAATGGAAATGTTCTAAAACTATTTGAATCCTTCCTCAAAGGCTGTACACAGGATAGTGATGTGCAAATACTCCTTTATCACTAGGCTTCTTGCCTGTAGAATACCTCAAGATTTAATTCTCTCTTCTGTCCTACTCAGCATCTATATATAGCCATTGGGGGAAAAGGTGAGACTTCATCATAGGCTCAAATACCAGAAATATGCAAATAACTCTATTATTCACATATGCAAAGACCTCAATCACTCAGCTATCTTTGTGCCTGGTTAATATCAGCACATAGATGAGGAGCAGTTGGCTGAGACAAAACCAGGAATGAGGGAGGTTATGTGTTGAGGTGGCTTTAATATTGTGTGTGTGATCATCACAGTCATGCACTGAGGTTAAAGCCATGCATTTGTGATCTTTTATTTATTTATATTTATATATATATCTGTTTTGACTAAGTTTCACATTAAGTAAAAAGAATTGCCATTGTGCATTGAAGAGGTGTGTTAAGATAAATGGAAATTCCACATTTCATTAGTTACTTCAGACTTACTAAATTCATGAACACTGTAGAGATAAAATACTCTGCAAACTGATTCAGTATTCTGAAATGGTGTTAAAACACTGGACACAATTAGAGTTTTCCAAGCTTTCAGAAACACTGGCCTCTTGACACTGTCTGGAAAATGTATAGCCTGAGTCCCTTTAGGAGTAAAGCAACCGTCAACACAGCCATGGGGACTTCTAGAGGAATTACTGTACTTCTACAGTAGTCACTTAAACTTCATCCTTGTGTCTTGTAACCTTATATGAAATGTGCTATGCTATAATCAGCTTTGTAGAATGATTTTCAGAAGTGCTATGTTTATTTTCTTCAATGGAAGTCTCCTTGCTCAATATCTCTGAAAATCAAACCACTAAGCA